AAGTAGAAATCTTTCTACTGTGACTGCTTTTAAGTTACTGCACTATTCTCCATGCTGGAAGGTTATTGAATCTTTCTACCTTTATGAGAAGGCAAATTAGAATTCCTTTAACTATGTCATATTGTATCAATGAAAGAATATAGTATAAAAAGAATAAGGAATCAGTTCTTGAAAAGCCAAAAAAAGAAACAACACAGCCATAAGAAGAAGAAATGGAGGTAGCATACTTGCCTATGCAGATCAAATAAGGTCAAGAGATGAATACAAGGAGGAGAAAAACGAAAAAGTGTCTACTGATATTTCAAATAATGATTTTGTAAAAAAACAAAACCCACCATTACAGTATGAAATATCTGAAGATGAACGCATGGATAATAAAGGTAGCCAAAATGAATTACTTTGAGTCAATGATGGAAGAATTTCATTATGAATATGACACAAGGTGAGACAGGTCGTGATCTCCATTAATATATATTGGGAGAGAGTTGATATTAAAGAATCCATCAAAATTAATTAAGATGAGAAGACCTAACCAAAGTAGTTAGGGCATAAAATTCCTGCATTTTAGGGAGATGTAGTGATATGCAAAAAACTGCCTAATTAGCATAGCTAAAGCTTAAAGTCTATATAAGTGCCCAAGCAGTAAGGAGAGGGGCAGAGTGATACGCAAAATTAACAACTACTGCTAGACTAAGAAAACATGAATGAAATCACATTTCATAACAGAAATATTGTTCATTCTGAAAAAGAGTTTTCTGAGCAGAACCATTTTGAACTTCAAGAGAAATATGAATTATATGCCATGTGAATGTTAGGTGTCATTTCTTTTAAACAGATTTAATTAGAAAAAGACTGATTGATACTGTTCCTGTACACCTGGTCCTACTAAGTAACTTGTAATTAATTTTTCATTTAATAGAAAACCACTGTTGAGATACATACATACATACATACATACACACACACACACACACACACACACACACACACATATATATATATATATATATATATATATATATATATAAAGAAATATAGTCTTAAGGTGTGCTATATTTATGGGTTAAAGTGCTCAATATCAGAGATAGATTGTGTCTAGCATGAAACAGACTGTTGCCTCTAAGTGTTGACTTCAATGTTCCCTTTATATATATATATATATATATATATATATATATATAGCCTGACTATTGTGCATTGCATGAAACAGACTGTTATCTCTGGGTGTTAACTAAATATAACATACCTTAAAACTATATTTTATCACACATATATATATAAATATTTTTTTTTCTTTTACAATTTAGGTTACTACTTCACACAAAGGACAATTGTTAATCATCAGTAAACATAAGGAAAATTAATTCCTGTTAATATGTGGAAGTAACCACTGTTTGTTTGATGAAGGTTGTGAGACCGGAAACCTGTGTAGCAAAAATATGGAAAATAAGATATAATATATTTTTAAAAAATACACGTTATAGCAAAAAACGTTTGTGGTTTCTCTCTTTTCTTATATATATATATATATATATATATATATATATATATATATATATACATATATATATATATATACACATCTGTGTGTATGTGTGTGTATACAGTGTCTTGGAAAAATGTATAAACACTTTGAATTTTTTATTAATATAATATCTGTCAAACTGCATTAAAGATTTATAACTCAAACTAAAGATGACAGATAAGTACTTATTTTCAGCAATCTGGCCCAGGCACTGACAATAACTCAGACCCATAGAGTTGCAAATTACATTAAGCAGTTAATTTGAGATTAGGATACATTCTCTTTCAATAGCAGTATTTAGTTTATGGATTGTTGGTGTTTTTGCATGATAAACATTATTTTTTGGTGTTTATTGGCATCAAGTCTGGGGGACAAGATGGTTAATGAACTGCTGCTTCTGTTTCAGACTTGTCACTTTTTTCAAGCTATGGTGAGTTTTGTAAATGGATCTGTTTGAAAATCTTTTTTGAAGCATCTTTGCTTTTCAGCTAAATTTTTGCACTTTTAATTGCATATTGTGATGAATTTTCTGTCTTATCAAAATGCAGTTTTGTTTCAGCCATTATTTATAAATGCTTGCACCTGAAAAAGTAAAAAATAATGACTTGTGTGGCAGAAAACTGTATATAAATTTAATGATGTGCTATATATAAATATATATCATTTCCTCTTTGTTGTACTCCAGAGAAGCTTTGGAATGTTTTGGTATTGTTCAACATATGATTTTGTGAATCAATAAAGTTTCCCATGCATTCAGTGTATTTGGAGCTTGGAAAGTGGTTTCTCATGGATCAGAAGAGGAAGTCTCTATTGATGTGGATGTATGCTGTTGTGAGATGTACAATATACAATTCCTTGGAGTTGTTTGAAGACATATATGCTATCATCACACCCAATACCAGAGGGAAAGCCAAATTGGGTTGTGAGGAGTTGATTTTCATAGAGCAGTGCCTAGTTAATACAATTTGCATGTACCTTTCCCATAATGGATACCTCTGTATGTGTGAGGGTTTCAGAGGTTACCTTTTTGTTTCCATAGTATATTAATGCACAATACACCCCACTTTTTGGGGACACAATTCTGAATCCATACTTCCTTCATGAAATTTAGAAATTTGTTTTTAAGTTCTGGCAAAGGGGTACACTATTTTTCGAATGTTCAGCCTCAATGTCAAATGATGCTTTATTATTCTATTTTTATAGCCTTTTTTTACTTCCTCATCATGAGGCTCATTATTGTTTATGTTTGCAGAGAGATATTGTAATGCTCAGAAGTATATCGATGTATGTTCTAATTCTGTGGAAATCTTCAGCTTTGCATATGGTCAGGGTTGAAATGTCACTCAAAATATTTTTTTAAACAACATTCCTGCTTCCCCTTTTTAGGTCAGTAGACAGCAGATGATAGGGGTGGTGCCAATGGCAGGCATTCATAGTTGGGATAAGAATAATGTTGAACAGAAAATCACCATTCTTTATCAACTAGTAGAAGTAGAAGTGAAGATAAATTTTTCCAAAATAGAAAATACGATCTGGAATTGAAATGAAAGCAATGATGATATCTACCCTAAATCGTTCATAAAAATTCAAGATGGGGAATTAGTAAATATTAAACACTTTAAATGCCTTGGTGTATGGATCAGTTACAACAAATTTAGTATAGGAGATAAGGAAATAGGCTTTGCCAGGGGCAGTTTCACACAACACTGCAAGTTGCTACAAAATGAAAACATTAAAAACTTGTCATATTCTTAAATTATCTTGTCAGATCAAGACTTTCATATGGATGTCATGCATGACACTAAACTCATTCAGAAATATCTAGACTGTCAACTGTATACCTGCTTTCTTATATCACTGGTTAAAATGGCTTTGAGTGAGTGAAGCATGTACACTACAGTTCAAAAGTTTTAAGCCACCCCTCCCAGAATTAGCATGGGATGAACTTGACAGAAGAGTGAAAAAAATAAAAAATAAAAAATGAAAAAGAGCTCTTAGAGTCATTGAAAAAAGAATGGAATCAATTATCAAACTTATACTTTAAGGACATTTTGCAATAAATGCCAAAAATTTGTGCTGGAGTAATCAAGACTAAATGAAAATAATTTGATGAGAGCAAAATTTAATCATAAAATGCTTTTTTCTTTTTGTCATGATAAAATTTCTACTAAAAAAAATCATATCTCACTTTTTTTTAACTATGTATAATAATTTTCTCTTATTTAAAGTAAAAACCAACTATTTTGGGGGGCCAATTTAAAAAATTAACAAGCTTTTTCCTCAAACTTTTGAACTGTAGTGTAGGTCTCAGCAAAGGCATCTTTAAAACTAGTGAACCGGTGCTACAGAATCACAAAGAAAAAACTATACTAGATAAGGAAAACTGCAACACTTGAGAACTTTCAAAAGCAGCAACAACTAAAATGGGTAGCACTGCCTGGCTCAGGAATTGAACTCACAATTAATATGTCACCAAATTCACGAACCAATACTTTAATCCACTACACTATTGTTCCACTATTATGTACTTGTATAATCAGAGCAAGCAGTACTAAAAAAGGAACTATATGAGATATACCTATACATAGGGAGTAGAAAGAGAACAGTCTACCCTCACATTAAATAAAGACTGACATGTTTTTCAACTAATCTAGACTCACTTAACTCAATTAAATCTCAACTTCAGTCACCTCTACTCAGTGTCAAGTTATTTCCTATTTATACTGTGATTATTTGAAAATGCTGATTAATACTAATTCTTATATTATCACTAATTTATTATTGTTATTAATTATAATTAAAGTGTCATCATAAGAATGTCACTGTGGCTGATGAAGAAGTATGCAAACAGTTTGATCCTTTCCTGTTTATTCCTTTTATTTTCTTATTCAGAAAACTCAAGGAAATCATTGTGCCATTAGCAGTTAACAGACCTAGAGTTATCTTCCTTGGATAAAAGTATTTTTTTTCAATAAATATATAATGAACAATTATTTCCACACTGGTGGCTGGATTGAAGTGGAAATTGTTTTATTCTTCAAGTTAGATCCTTTTAACAATAGTGTGCTAATACAACTTGTGCTATGATGTCCCATTTTTGTTGTAATACAAATTACACAAATGTACAGAAGTTGGATTGTTATTCTATAGTTGGTTACCTGTAAGAACTGTTATGTCAAAATATGATTTGATTTTAGTTATCAAGTATAAATTCTTTCCAACATAAAATCTTTCCATTGTTGTTCACAATGAGACTTGATTTTTAGATGGTATTTTCTGCTTAATAAATTACTTTTTTTTTTATAAAGCACTGACTTGTTAACCTTATAAAAAGGCCATTCTTTGGCAAAAAATAGTTTGTGTTGATTCCTGTAAGAATAAATTAACAGGATTAAAAATTTGGCTACCTGTTTTTTTCTGTCATGTGTTTCTTCCTTTGTATTCATGGGATTGTTTACCTTTGTCCATTTGGTAGATTCTGTGATTGATTCCTTGAGAAACAAAGTGTTACCTGAACTGTCTGAACCACCAAAGGAAATGGTGAAAGGAGGTAATGTTCATCTAAAAAGATCGTAAGTATCTTTTGGTGTTTAACTATTATGTTCGTGGGCAGAAATATTATGGTTTAATGTCACAACACTTGTCCACCAATAGAGAAAACTATAAGGATATCAAGATTGTAGAAAGAGGATTTTATTTAGATTAGCCAATAATTCTATGACATATATCTGTGTTTGGGGCAACATAAGGGTAGTATTTTTAAATGAAAAAAATCCTCATTCCAAATATACTTTCAAGTGATGACTACTAATGTATAAAACATTTATTACCTATTTTCTTACATCAGTTGTGCATGTGTCTGTGGATAACAAAATAAGAAAACTGGGCTTCAACTGTGGTGGACAATGCTCAATTCTCTTGTAGGCATTAACCACAAATGGACAAGTTTAAACAAGTAATAAAAGTTTCATTTAACTCTTGTCATTAATTTGTTATTACACTTTGCTTTATGACAACATGTTTTTTCTGATATGTTACAAAAATGGTCAGTTAAAAATTGAGCTATACAGTTTATTGGGAAGAATGCAACTCATGTGTATGTCTGTTTGAGAGGATTTTGTAAAGATCCAAAGAATGTTTTGATTCTTATGTAACATTCAATGGAAACTATTTCTGCAACCATTCTGCTGCTGAATTGTTGATCATTTCAAATGATTTGTTTGATTTTTTTGAACATTCTCACCAGTTATTCATGTGTATGTTGTAGATGTATATTCACTCACATCACATGGTCATAAGTATTTGGCTTGTGTTCATGAGAAAAAACAGAACAAACAAATGTATGTAATAACAATAAAAAACGTGGTAAATTATATGGTAGTTTCATACAATTTTATTTATGTATTTGTGTGCGTGTTTTACATTACAATTGGAATAAGGTTTATGTTATAGAATGGAGTAAGTCACTCTGTAATACCACAAATCTTATCATGGAGAGTTTTTAGACACGTGTTGTCATCCTGACAATTCTGGACAAAGAGATTGAAACTCACATCTCTTGGCAGGATGTACATATTTCCAGCAGGAACAGTCCCTGTTGCATTCTGAGAGTAATTTTATTATTTTTATCTATTTATTTTAATTGGTTTAAATTTTGCTTTATTTTATTTATAATTTTCATCATCATTATTATCTTATATTTTATTTTCATTTATAATAATAACAATGTTTCCACAATGGGTATCCACTACTTGAATTTAACAAATGTTTCTTGTGTCAAGTTTTTCATGTCTTAACAACCTCACTAGATTTTGCCACATCCAGCATATGAAGAAGATATATTTAACCTTCATAGAACACAATATTTCACAAACCAATGTTTTAATCCTTGTGAATTTGGAACTATATTAAAAGTGAGTTCAATCCCTGGGCCAGGAAGCACAAATTTAAATTCAGTTGATACAAGACTAGCAATAACTGAACAGTCTTAAAAATCAAATGAAATGTCCTTAGCCATAGACAGTTGAATGAGAACAATCTACACCCATAGTTTAAATAAAGGGTTCTATTTGGAATTTTCTAGAGGTTACTGGTATTGAAAGATATCTAAAGAATGCTAGAGAGCATAATGACTGAGATGAAGAAATTAGTCTGACTGTAAATAATATAAATAGTTTTAAAATTTAATATAATGTTAATGATGAAGAATTGTTTTTGAATTTGAGTAATAATCTCATTTGTGAGTTAAGAAGTGGCTTTTAGCCCTATGTATTCTTTTAATTCAAGGAGACTAGCATTTAAACAATGGATGTTTGAATTCTGAAAACTTTTGGTTAGATTTCTCTTGGTTTTTCTTCTAACTGTTACCATTTTGTGAGAATGAATCCTGCATTTAATATTTAATAACTTTATTCATTAATGTTTTTCTTAACCATTGAAATAGCAAAGAAACATTGCAAATTATTGATGCTGAAAATTTCTTAATGTGGCCAAGAAAACATTTAAAATCTATAACGTTTGGCCATTTTATAAAATTTCAGAAGAGGTTTGACCAAGATTATTTCAGTTTAAACATCTAAGGGGACTCGAGATTAGCCCAGACCTCAAGAAGAAATCATATATACAATCCATCAATAAAGATGCTGGAAAAAGGGTCAGCTTCTTTTACCACTCCAGAAACTACCTAACTCCTTCTGCCATGCTTTATCTTTACAAGAATCAGATTAAACCAAAAATGGAGTATTGCTGCCATATCTCATCTTGTGCTGTCCAGTCTTCACATTCCATCTTTGATAGAGTTCAAAATCATTTACGCAGTCTTGTAGAGGATGCATTATCTCCTGCTCTATAACCCCTTCTCTACAGACACAAGACCTTTACTGCTTTGTGTGAAGGAAGCATGTACACTACGGTTCAAAAGTTTTAAGCCACCCCTCCCAGAATTAGCATGGGATGAACTTGACAGAAGAGTGAAAAAAAAAAAAATATGATGCTTCTTCCACAGAGTCAAATCACCTTCATTTCTTCTGTATTTCAATTGAAATAAGGATGTTCCATGCAGACAGTTTTTTCCTAAGAACTGCTACTTTGTGGAACTGACTTGAATGTGGGTGCTTCCCTGAATTCTTTAATCTTGACCTATTTATGTCAAGGACCATTTAATATCTATCTTTTTATTCTCATTATCTCTAATTCCTACCACCTTCTCTTCCACTCATATCTCCAGTCCTGGTTATGACGATAAACTGCATCCCGCAGCAATGCCTCAGATCAGTAGGTTTTGAGGAGTGTGGCACTACCTCTTAATTGCTGTTGTTCCCAGGTCCATCCTGACCCAGGATGGTAGCACCTGTTAGGGTCCCAGCTATGGGTAAATAGTTTCCCCCTCCCCCAAAATGGTGTCTGGATACTAAGAAAGTATAAAGATGTTTTTTTATAATAAAAATACCAGCAAAACAAATTGCAATATATAAAATGCACATTCACAAAAACTGATTCCCAAAACTATAAATTCCCCTCAATAGGGCCACCTGTTTACCATGGGTGGTGACCTGTGATGCCTGGGGATGGAGTCCTGGTGACTGAGTGACCTTCTGATCCAGTATAAATTGATCAGGAGTGTCCACAACATGTCACTTCAGTCCCTACCTGGGATAGACAGGCAGAAGAAATGGCCCAATCCAATCGGTTAGTCACATAGTGGCAAGGGCTACTTGGGATGATAGATAATAGCTCTGACATGACTGCAAATCCTTACACCATACTATAATTGGGTAGATATGGTGGGGGAATGTGGGTGCTCATATCCATTTTCATCACAACTATACCATCTGCGTAGCCCTGGTGGATCAGGGTGAATGGGATTAGCCCCCCAATAGCGTCCCTTAATAAGTAACTCTGAGGTGGGTGGGGAACACAAATGGCAAATACAAAAAACAAAATTATATGTCTAACTCTTATAAATGATCCAAGAGACAGTACAAAATCTCTGAAACAGGAAGTGACAATGAAATATCAGGAAAAAAACAATTTATAATTTTCATAGTCATAGAATCATTAGAAGGTGAAATAACAAAAGCCTCACCTTTTGTGTTGCAAAAGGTTATATCAGCCATGATAGAACCAAAATCTGTAAAAAAAATAAAGAAAAATAACAGACTTCTAATTCAAGTAAAAACCAAAAAAGATGCAGAATATCAAGCAAATAGACAACAATAAAGTAAAGGCTTAACCCCATCAATTTCTTAATTCCTCTAAGGGAGTAATAAAATGCCCAGAACTATCACTCTGATCACCAGAAGAAATTAAAAATGATGACACCCTAAAAAAGCAAGGCATAACAGATGTCAAAAGAATACAAATAAAAAGAAATGATACATCAATAAACACAAACACACATATTTTGACATTCAACAAACCTACTCTACCAAAAAAAAAAAAAAAAAATAGGATACACAATAGCCAAGGTAGAGCCATACATTTCTAATCCACGTAGAGGTCACAAATGTCAGAAATTTGGTCATCTACAAAATCTTTGCACGAGAGCATCAGTCTGTGGGGAACTTGAGTCAGATCATGAAGAGTCACCCTGTGAAAGGTCTCTTTTATGCCCAAACTGTAAAAAAAACAAAATCTGCAGATTCTAAAGAGTGTAACACTTGAAAAAAGGAAAAGGAAATAAGAATAAAATACATGCAAAATATCTTCTTTCAAGAAGCCAGAAAACTGGTTGAATCCTATTCACTTCCTACATCATATGCAAATATCGCTAAAATATCAATTCACCAAAATAAGAAGCAATAAGAAGCCAAGGTCTTGCAACTTTAATAAATGAATTAAAAAGTTTAATCGAACTACTAAAATGTAGTACATTGCACATAAATCAAACTCCCATAGACAAAATAAATCCTATCTCATCAACCTCAAACAAAAAGAATCTTTATGTACAAAACAATTAACTCTGAAAATCACAATCCAAAGTACAAAAATCCTTCAAGAAATAGAACCCTCTAAACATTCCCAAGAGAATCAAAAGGTGCATAAAAGAAATAACCCAACCGAGTACATCATTGAAGAACCAAGTGAAATGGACATAGATGGAGAAAACTCTATCCCATCTCAAAGAAGGGAATGGTCATCATCCAAACAAAGATCATCAAAAGAACTTAATGGAAAATCTAAGGAAACAAGATCAAACAAACAAGCAGAAACAAAAGACCTTCAAAGAAAAAAAACATGACAAGAAACAAAGTTTTAATAGATCAGAGAGGATAGAAATTATGGACACTTCACCCACTAAACATAAATTAGACAAGCAAAAAACTTTTATCAGCTGGGATCAAAACACTATGAAAGTGTAAAAGTGAGTTTAAATACCAGAAATACTTTGTAAAAAAAAAAAAAATATTATTACCAGCAATAAATTTTTGAAGGAAAAAGTATTCCCAACAATACATTTAAAAAAAATCTCCAGCAATATATTTTTGGAAAAATATTACTAGCAATACATTGTTGAAGGAAAAAATATTATCAACAATACATTTTTGAGAAAAAAAAAAATATATTATCATTTTTGGAAAAACTATTACCAGTGTTATATAAGAATAAAGTGTTACTGCTGGTACTAGAGTTTGAACACAGATCACCAGAGAGCAAACAAAGGCGATCCCATTTTGAATAAGTAGATCATGTGATGGTAAAGGAAATGTATATATGGGAATTAGCGTGGTGCCTAAGTGATCACTATATGGATTACTATTCAAATCATTATTCACTGGTTACTTTTCGAGTGAGTATTATTGAGCAAGAACTATTAGTGCGAGTGTTATTTGAAGGCATCTGACACCAGCATTATTCAATGGCATACTTTGTATCTGCGATTACAAAGTCTCTACTACAATGAGTATTATGAAAGTGACAATGAATATTTGTTGACATTACAAAAGTGGCAATGAGTGTTCACTGACATTACAAAAACCAGCAATACTTTTTTGGAAAAATATAACCTGCAATAGATTTTTGAAGGAAAAATATTACCAGATATAAAAATTTTGTTGGCATTAAATAACCCATTGAGGTGTTGATATGCTGTAAAACCCAATCAAACCAAACCAATCCACTCATATCTCACACCTCATTCCTAATTACTATTTCAACTGTAACTCACTAACTTGAGTGGCACCTGAGTCATGTATTGGGTGAAAATTATTTTTTTTAAAAAGTATTAAAATATTCATAGTTAAATAAATCCCTAACCCACCTGCTTCACAGCAATTTTTGCCTAAGTGGGTTGACATGATGAACAGAAACTAGACAGCTTTAAATTTGTCTCTAGAAATTATTCAGGACCTGAGTCAAGTTTATTTAAATACTGTTCACCTAAAAATCTTCTCTTCCTCTTTTTTATCATTTCACCCCAAGTGCCAAAAACCAAGAGGCCAGGTCAAGACTGATAACATTTCAGATTCTTCTTTGAATTCTATCAAGAATCTCTAGATACATAGCAGAAGCACCAAACTAGATGTGGCAGGAATATTTGATTCATTGATGAATGGTAGATTTGCATTAGTGCAAGACAGATTCTGGCAACAAAAATTGTCTAGAATGACACAGTTAACCAACTTTTCTAGCAGCAGATATAGCAATTGATTCAATAAAATGTTTCCACTGCATGTGAGAGGAAAACATGAAAAAAAAAAGAAACAATGAGTTACTCTCCTGGAAGTTAGCATCAGCCATGTTGATGGAAGGCAAAAAAGGTTCTCTTATATGATTAAAGGTGAGCTGTTACATTTCGGAGGTATTCCTTCTAAAATAAAATTGTCAGGAAATTTTATAAATCAAATATTTAAAGAACCCAGTATTTATTCTTAAAAAGCAAATATAATCATTTTACCAGTCAAATAAAGAGTAACAATTACGTTTTATTGATATTAGAATAAACAGCATTGTCATTTGCTCACTGTTCATGGCTCTTAAGTGATGATTAATCTAGTTTAATCTCACATTAATATATTTTCAGAAAATTTTTAATTTTGATTAGGCCTTGATATAATATTAATTTTCAATGAGTGGCTTTTCTGAAATTTCTACAGCATGTTAACAATAACTTTAGTAAATGAAATAAGGAAAAAATACAGTGTTAATGTTGCAGGGGAAGAGTGAATGTTGCTTGCAGGGGAAGAGTGAATGTTGCTTGCAGGGGAAGAGTGAATGTTGCTTGCAGGGGAAGAGTGAATGTTGCTTGCAGGGGAAGAGTGAATATTGCTTGCAAGGGAAGAGTGAATGTTGCTTGCAAGGGAAGAGTGAATGTTGCTTGCAGGGGAAGAGTGAATGTTGCTTGCAAGGGAAGAGTGAATGTTGCTTGCAGGGGAAGAGTGAATGTTGCTTGCAGGGGAAGAGTGAATGTTGCTTGCAGGGGAAGAGTGAATGTTGCTTGCAGGGGAAGAGTGAATGTTGCTTGCAGGGGACGAGTGAATGTTGCTTGCAGGGAAGAGTGAATGTTGCTTGCAGGGGAAGAGGAATGTTGCATGCAAGGGAAGAGTGAATGTTGCTTGCAGGGGAAGAGTGAATGTTGCTTGCAAGGGGGAAGAGTGAATGTTGCTTGCAGGGGAAGAGTGAATGTTGCATGCAAGGGAAGAGTGAATGTTGCTTGCAGGGGAAGAGTGAATGTTGCTTGCAAGGGAAGAGTGAATGTTGCTTGCAGGGGAAGAGTGAATGTTGCTTGCAGGGGAAGAGTGAATGTTGCATGCAAGGGAAAGAGGAATGTTGCTTGCAGGGGAAGAGTGAATGTTGCTTGCAGGGGAAGAGTGAATGTTGCTTGCAGGGGAAGAGTGAATGTTGCTTGCAAGGGAAGAGTGAATGTTGCTTGCAGGGGAAGAGTGAATGTTGCATGCAAGGGAAGAGTGAATGTTGCTTGCAGGGGAAGAGTGAATGTTGCTTGCAAGGAAGGGTGAATGTTTCTTGCAGGGGAAGAGTGAATGTTGCTTGCAAGGGAAGAGTGAATGTTGCTTGCAAGGGAAGAGTGAATGTTGCTTGCAGGGGAAGAGTGAATGTTGCTTGCAGGGGAAGAGGAATGTTGCTTGCAGGGGAAGAGGAATGTTGCATGCAAGGAAGAGTGAATGTTGCTTGCAGGGGAAGAGTGAATGTTGCTTGCAGGGGAAGAGTGAATGTTGCATGCAAGGGAAGAGTGAATGTTGCTTGCAGGGGAAGAGTGAATGTTGCTTGCAAGGGAAGAGTGAATGTTGCTTGCAGGGGAAGAGTGAATGTTGCATGCAAGGGAAGAGTGAATGTTGCTTGCAGGGGAAGAGTGAATGTTGCATGCAAGGGAAGAGTGAATGTTGCTTGCAGGGGAAGAGTGAATGTTGCATGCAAGGGAAGAGTGAATGTTGCTTGCAGGGGAAGAGTGAATGTTGCATGCAAGGGAAGAGTGAATGTTGCTTGCAGGGGAAGAGGAATGTTGCTTGCAAGGGAAGAGTGAATGTTGCTTGCAGGGGAAGAGTGAATGAATGTTGCTTGCAGGGGAAGAGTGAATGTTGCATGCAAGGAACAGTGAATGTTGCTTGCAGGGGAAGAGTGAATGTTGCTTGCAGGGGAAGAGGAATGTTGCTTGCAAGGGAAGAGTGAATGTTGCTTGCAGGGGAAGAGTGAATGTTGCATGCAAGGGAAGAGTGAATGTTGCTTGCAGGGGAAGAGGAATGTTGCATGCAAGGGAAGAGGAATGTTGCTTGCAGGGGAAGAGTGAATGTTGCATGCAAGGGAAGAGGAATGTTGCTTGCAGGGGAAGAGTGAATGTTGCATGCAAGGGAAGAGTGAATGTTGCTTGCAGGGGAAGAGTGAATGTTGCATGCAAGGGAAGAGTGAATGTTGCTTGCAGGGGAAGAGTGAATGTTGCTTGCAGGGGAAGAGTGAATGTTGCATGCAAGGGAAGAGTGAATGTTGCTTGCAGGGGAAGAGTGAATGTTGCTTGCAAGGGAAGAGTGAATGTTGCTTGCAAGGGAAGAGTGAATGTTGCTTGCAAGGGAAGAGTGAATGTTGCTTGCAGGGGAAGAGTGAATGTTGCTTGCAGGGGAAGAGTGAATGTTGCTTGCAGGGGAAGAGTGAATGTTGCTTGCAAGGGAAGAGTGAAAGATAGTTTTCAGAAACTGTGTAAGTTATAGGATCGAAAAATAATATTAGAAATGAAGAAAAGAGTACTAAGTACATTGTTACGAGGAAAGAAGGTTTGGGGAATTTAACTCTCACAGGATACATTGAAGAGAAGAGAAGCAGAAAAATCATGAAGTAAGCAAAGACAAAAGAAGAAAGCTGTGGAGAACTACACACACCCATTATTTGAAGGTATATGGCACATATAGAAAAAGATTTGTGTCATAAAATATGTCTTGCACTTTTATTTTCAATAATGCTCACTCTGGCCCAAGAACCACTCAAGATAGAGTAAGAGGTAAGGAGCAAAACACAGAGGAAGAAAAAAACCCATAAAAGTATGTCTCTGGCATATATATATATATATATATATATATAGAGAGAGAGAGAGAGAGAGGTTGCATTAAATGTCATTGGCATTTACAGAAATAGATTTGGTTGATTTTGCTTAGTGGCATATCAATGCTAAAATCTAATTACTTTGTAAGCAATTGCATGACTTCAGCTCCAGATAAAATGTATTGTTAGTCATTTAGCTATAAAATGTATTGGTTATTCTACTATAAAAATGTATTTTTATACTTTCATAGTGTTCAGTCTTTGGGGGTTCACTATTTGCCAATAGGGTCAGGGTGGACCTGAGAACAACAGCAATTAAGAGGTGGTTCAATGCTCCTCAAAACCTCCAATTTCCTGATCAGAGGCCTTGCTGCTGGATGTAGTTTGTCATCATACCCAGCACTATACAGACATAGAGAAAGAGCATAAAACTCTGTCTAATATGCCAAGAGAGAGTGGGAATGAAGTAATATTCCTCTGTGTCCCCTGCTTAAATTGGAAGCAAGAATCTGTTTTCTTTCATTTTTTTGTTTATTTCTTCTCCAGCTTCTCACATTGAATGAACGTTTTTCTTTCCTAGTTTTGTTATTTTTATTATCTTTTTTTGATTTTTTTCAAGAAAATCTCATAATGATGTATGATGTTAAAAACTAACAATTTATTATTTTTAGTTTTCTTTTTTTGAAATGTTTCTATTCAAATTATCAAGTAGTTTAAGTTGTATAAATGCAATGCAAAGCATCTTAAGTGAAGTCTTGAGTATTTCTTGTGGAAGACAAACAGGTCTACTGATTTTGATTAAACTCTATCTCAAACTGATCATATGAATTATATTCCATGACAAGACATTTTGTCACAAAAAATTCCTTGTTCATTTTTATTTTCTTAGTGAAAACTCGTTCAATTTAGTCACAAGAAATGTCAAAGTTATCTTGATTTTGCATTTTTAATAAACAAACTGATGATGTACTTTTGAAAGAAAAGCAAAGATATCAGTGGATTCCAAATTCTTAAAAAAAGAAAAACTTTCTTGTCTTCAAGTGACTCAAAGTGTACTTATCTTTTATTTATACTCCACTGTGAATAGTTATCGAATGTAAAATGTAGATATTGATGAAAAGTTTTTCTTGCTAAGAAACCAGAAAATACCTGAAATGAAAAAAAAATAGGACAACTAACAGGACAGAAGACATGCTCATCAACAGGCTGCCTAAAATCAAAGGATGGAACACTCAGAGAAGGAAAATTTCTTCAATGCTGGGGTGAGTATATCGGAGAACTCTTCCACGACGAAAGGGAACAATCAGCAATGCACAGAACTACCGAATGGACCTGGAATTCTGAAAACCTAAGTAAGAGGCAGCTGGGCCAGATGGAATTGTAGCAGAAATGCTGACAGCCTTAGATGACTTTGGCATAGACAAGATCACCAAAATAACAAATGAAGTCTACAACAGTGGGGATATCCCGAAAGACTTCAGCAGATCTGTCTTCATAGTTATACCTAAGAAACCAGGCACAAACGATTGAAAACTCCACCGAACAATAAGCCTGATGAGCCACATGACAAAACTCATCATCCGTATTCTGTTGAATAGAGCATGCAGTAGAATCAGGCCAGAGATAGGACAAAATGGTGCAGGTTTGTTAAAGACACCAGAACAAGGAATGCAATATTCATGTTCAGAATATTACCAGAAAGAGTGATACAGATGCAGAAATATGTGTACCTATGTTTCAATGAAATATGTGTACCTATGTTTCAATGACTTGCCTTAGGCAAAGTACATGACAAGGATCTAATGGAACTGCTTAGCAACCTTGATATATTCAGGAGGGATATCAGAATAATGAAGAATCTATACTGGCAGTAAACAGCATGCATACACATAGGTAACGAATTCAGTGAATATACAAAAATAGAAAGCGGCGTAAGGCAAGGATGCGTGTTCTCACCTGATGCTGTTCAATCTATACAGTGAGGCAATTCTGGTAGAATTGGAAACCTTACCGGGATTTAGCATTGGTGGCCACAACCTTAACAACATAAGATATGCAGATGACACAGTACTGGTAGCAGACACAGAAAAGAAATGACAAAATCTCCTACAGAAGCTAGCAACGGAGAGTGAGAAGAAAGGATTAAGCATAAACTACAAGAAGACAGAATGCATGGTCATCAGTAAAAGGCATGAGCCCGAAATGTGATTTGCTGGTTGGGAACACTAGAATCAAGCAGACAAAGAAGTCTAAATATCTGGGATGCAACTTGACAGAAGATGGTAAGTGTGCCACTGAGATCCGTAGACATATTGGATTGGCCAAGGACACATTCCAAAAACTGAGCAGAGTATTGTGAGACAGGAGGATTTCTTTAGTAACAAAGAAAAGAACGCTGAGCTGTTACGTGACATCTGTCCTTCTTTATGGCAGTGAATATTGGATAATTTCCTCAAAGATGAAGAAGAGACTTGAGGCGACGGAGATGTGGTTCTACAGAGGGATGCTAAGGATATCATGGACTGAGCATGTGAGCAATGATGAGGTCTTAGGTTACAAACTAGGAGAAGGGTTATACTTAACATCAGAAAGAAGCAGCTGAAGTTTCTGGGATGCATAATGTGGAAGGAGGGCCTAGAGAATCTGATACTCACAGGTCGAATAGAGGGAAAGAGAGACAAGGGAAAGCAGTGCGTGACATACCTGACAAGTTTGAACAGGTAGATGACAGAACATGGTCTGGGGGAGGAAGCAGAGGAAAGGAGCTTGCTGAGAGCTTCAAGGGATAGTGCGAGGTGGAGAGCCATGATCGCCTACATCCTGAAAGTACATGGCACATAAAAAGAAAAAAAGTGTACAGAAAATCATTAGAAAATATACAGAAATGTTTTATAACACTTTGCTGTTGGTGTTATCTTCTTCTTCCTCTTCTTCTATGTACCATGCCCCATTCAGAATATTGGCAATCATGGCTCTCCACAATTTCCTGTCCTTTGTAGCTCTTAGTGAATTTTGTCTTTTTCCTATATTTCTTAAACCCTGTTCTGCCATTCATTTACATAAGCATGTTAAGTATGTTATGCGCCATTTCCTTCTGCCCTCTTTAATATCTTCTGTGAGTGTCAAATTTTACAAGCCCCCTTTCCTCATATTTCTTCTTCATGTGCTGTGTTTTCTCAGGATATAAGTGTTCATGTCTCACCACAATTTTCTGTCCCTTGTAGTCCTTAATAAATTTTGTCATTTTGTTATTTCTCCCAAATCTTGTTCTGTCATCAATTTACTCAAGTTTACTAAGTAGATTATCCATTGTTTTCCTTTGTCCCTCTTGCCTTCAATCTGTCCTGTGAGTATTAGATTTTCCAAGCCCTCTTTCCTCAATATGTGTCCAAGAAATTCTGTCTCTTCCTGATATCAAATATAAGTTTCCTTTTTGTTTCCATTTTCTTTAAAACATTGCTCATATGTTTGGTCTATAGTATTCTCAGCATCCTTTTGTTGAAACCCATTTCTGCTGCTTCAAGTCTCTTTTCTTCATCTTTGAAAAGATTGTCCAGCATTCACTATCATACATGAGGGTAAATATTACATAATGGTTCAGTACTCTTTTCTTTGTTTCTAATGAAGTTTTCATGTTTGTTAATACTCTGCTTAGCTTTTGGAATGCATTTTCAGCTATCTCAATGCACCTTCAGATTTCAGTATCACACTTTCCATCCTCTGTTAAAATACTTCCCAGATATTCAAATGTTTTTACTTATTTGATTTTGGTATATCTGATTTGTAATTTGCATTTTTGGATCATTATTTTGTCAGTTACCATGCATTCAGTTTTCTTGCAGTTGATGTTTAGTCCTTTCTTCTCACTTTCCTTCACTACCTTCTGTAGGAATTTTTGTAATATTCTTTCTGGTTCTGCTATCAATATTGTCATTTGCACACCTTATGTCGTTAAGATTATGGCCACCAATAATGAATCCTGGTAGGACTTCTAATTCTCTCTAAATCACCTCATTGTATAGGTCGAGAAGTTCAGTGAGAAACCATATCCTTGTTTTACACCCCTTTCTATTTTTGTATATCTGCTGATATTTTATCTGTGTGCATGCAGTTTGCTGCCAGTATAGGTTCTTGATTATTCTAATATCCTTCCCAAATATGTCAAGGTTGCTGAGCAGTTCCAGCAACTCTTTGTAATGTATTTTATCAAACATCTTTGTGTAATCTATAAAACACAGGTACACATCCATTTGAGAACATTCTGAGCATAAATATTGCATTCTTTGTTTTGGTGTCTTTGATGAACCTGCACTGTTCTTGTCCTATCTCCAGTCTGATTCGGGCGCACACTCTGTTCATCAAAATTCAGATAAGTTCTGATTTGATGTGATAATATCCTTTTAGGTGCCCTGTTTTTATAATGAGACCTTCTCATCCACTCTACTAAGCACCCCCCACCTGTTACCACAAGATCTGTTAGTTGTAGTCACTTTCCAGGATGACCTTGAGTAGTTATGTGATGGTTCTCACATCTCGGGATGTTCTTGGTGGTCATGATATCCTTGTATTGCGGTGTGGGCTTTAGCTAGATAGCAGTCATTTTATGGGGTTCTCATCTACCTTCATTTATATGGTATCTGCATATGAGTGTATACACTTTCAAATCTTGTTTTTTTTATATCTTCAAGATTATATTTTTTACTAGCAGTTTATGGTAGACTCAAACTAGTAAATCTGGTCTTATCAACACAAACATCCAGTATGACTTCAACCTGCAAAACAAAGCTTCTCCTTCAACTGGTGCATAATGTGACTCTGCCTCTTTGGAGAAGTGGGATCCTGCT